CGTAGTAGTGTGTACCCTGGTACCCAGATGCGGTCGGTCCCAGCTTTTACGTAATAGACTCCCTTGGCTGCTGCGAATTGCTCCGAGTTTCCTCCTGTGAAGAATGGGTCTGTTTGATATCCGTGGGTAAATAGTCCTGTTAGTAGCGGGCTGGTCTGGGCGAGTAGTATCGCATGGATCTGGGCAGTGGGGCGGGTCAGTGCGTCGGCGATATTCGAGGCTCCTTTTTTATAGGTAACTGTGTAATGGAAATTTGACTCGAGGAAATCGAGCCACCGAATCTGTCGTGGGTTGAGGTGGGGCTGTGCACGGAGGTACTGTAGGGATCGATGGTCTGTCCGTACTGTCACGTCTGCGCCGGTCACGTAGCAGCGCCACACTTGGATGCACGCACGATCGCGAGCATTTCGCGGTCGTGTATCGGGTATTTTCGTTCAAGCGGATGCAGTTTTCGTGATTCGTAGGCAATGGGCTGGAGGCCGTTGCCGAAGTCCTGTAACAGTACGGCTCCAATAGCGATGTCGCTTGCGTCTGTAACAACTTCGAAGGGGCGATGTGGGTCAGCGATGCGTAGCACGGGTGGTGAACAGAGAACAATTTTCAGGGCAGAGAAGGCAGCATGCTCTTTCTCCCCCCACGTAAAAGCGACCCCCTTGCGCAGTAAATCTGTTAGCGGGGCTGTTAAACGGGCCATGTCGGGGACGAACCGACGAACGTAATTAACGAACCCTAAAAAACTCTGTAGTTCCGTGATGTTCGTCGGGGGATGCCACGCTTTTACGGTATCCAGCTTCTTGGAGTCGATTTTGTCAGAACATTATAACTTACTTATTTGTGTAGGCTATAGTGGGGTATCCCATAGGGGGTACAACCCAATTAGGGTTTCCTATATGTACTCACTTCATTCATAGTCATTTCATTCTCGTTCAAATCTTCTCATGGTATCAGAGCAGGTTCCCCTGTGGGAACTGCGCCTAGGGCCCACCACTGCGAACATTTTTTTTTTTTTTACTGCCCGAAGCGCGCTCATCCCGAGTCGCGCCTCGGGCTATTCACTCGAACAGCCGCCCTAGCGGCCGTCCCTCCCCTAGCGGCGCTGCCGCCCTACTGTCGCGGCCCCGCCGCCCCTGTATTCGCGGCCCCGCCGCCCTGCTTTCGCGGCCCCGCCGCCCTACGCTTCGCGGCCCTGCCGCCCTACGATTCGCGGCCCCGCCGCCCTGCTTTAGCGGCCCCGCCGCTCTTCAATTCGCGGCCCCGCCACTCTGCTTTAGCGCCCCCCCCCCCCCCCCCCCCCGCCCTACGCTTCGCGGCCCCGCCGCCCTGCACTTCGCGGCCCCGCCGCCCCGCTTCAACGGCCCCGCCGCCCTGCGCTTCGCGGCCCCGCCGCCCTACACTTCGCGGCCCCGCCGCCCTGCTTCAGCGGCCTCGCCGCCCCTCCTTCGCGACCCCGCCGCCCTGCTTCAGCGGCCCCGCCGCCCTACACTTCGCGGCCCCGCCGCCCTGCTTCAGCGGCCCCGCCGCCCCTCCTTCGCGGCCCTGCCGCCCTTCATTTCGCGGCCCCGCCGCCCTGCTTCAGCGGCTCCACCGCCCGTCCTTCGCGGCCCCGCCGCCCTGCTCTTCGCGGCCCTGCCGCCCGACTCTACCGGCCCCGCCGCCCTTCTGCTGCGGCCCCGCCGCCCTACACCTGGGGCCCCGCCACCCGTCTGCTGCGGCCCTGCCGCTCTCCTCTCCTGCCACGCCACCCGAGCAGCCGACCACCGCGCCGACGAGGACAGGAGAAGCCGAGCCGCCCAGCCGCCCGTGCAGCCGAGCCGCCCAGCAGCCGAGCCGCCCAGCAGCCGAGCCGCCGAGCAGCCGAGCCGCCGGGCAACCGAGCCGCCGCGCCGCCGAGCAGCCGAGCCGCCGAGCCGCCGTGCCGCCCAGCAGCCGAGCCGCCCGTCTGCCGAGCCGCCCGACCTGCCCTGTCCGGTGAGCACAGCCCCACTGTCACTGCGTGCCCTTCCCCTACTGCTTGCACTGCTAGTCTCTCGTCGTCATGGCTACCCCTAGTGTCCTCACTTTTGACGCTGAGGGTCGAGCCATTGACTTTGAGGTCTGGGTCGAC